TCTCCTCATTCTGCCCCCCCTCCTTGTCCCCCCCCTCCTCCAGCAGTGATATCCACCGGCGCTGACTGCAAACATATAATAGGAGCCACTAGCACCTTTACTGGAACCACTACTTCGTCTACGACGACGGGCCGACGACGAGGAGACGTCGACGCCACGACGACGACGAGACGACAACAACATGGACGACGACGGGACGACAAAGACGGCGACGACGAAATAAAGATGACGACCACGACGAAGACGACACGAAGACGACGACGAGACGACGACGAGACGACGACGGCACGACGACGAAACGACGACGACTACGAACGACGACAAGAGGAGGACGACGACGACACGGCGACGAAACGACGACGACGACAAGACGTTGACGACGACAAACCGACAATGATTAAACACAGACAACGGCGACACGACGAAGACGTTGACGCGACGACGGCAACGAGACAACGACGGCGAGACGACGACGAGACGACGACCACGCGGCGGCGCCAACGACTAGACGACGACGACGACGAGGACGACGACGACGTGACGACGACGACGACGAGGGGAACGACGAGACGACGACGAGGCGAAGACGACGAGACAACGACGACGACGAGAAAAATACGGCAACAAAGCATGACAAAACGACGACGACGACGACGAGGCGACAACGATACTAAGAGATGATGACGACGAGGCGAAGACGACGGCGCCGACAACATGACGGGACCAAGACGACAACGCCGACGACGACGACGATGACGATGAGACGCCGACGACGACAACGAGACGACGATGACGATGACGAAACGACGACGAGGACAATGAGACGACGACATCGACGGCGACGACTAGACGACAACAACGACGACGAGGCGACGACGACGACGAGAGGACGACGACGACGACGAGAATCTGAACTGGGCTCCCTAGACGCCCTGAGCTTCTCGGAATCACTGGACTCGCCGGGCTCCCTGGACTCAAGCAAGCAAGCACGCACGCAAGCAAGCAACAACGGAAGCACGCAAGCCATTGACCGAGCCATTGGAATCCATCGAACTAGCCAGAGGAAGCCATAAAACTAGCCATAGGAGGCCATGGTACTTGCAATAGTAAGCTATGGAACTAGGTATGGAACCAGACATAGAACGCCATGGAACCTGCCATGGGGAGCCGTAGAGATAGCAATAAAACCAGCAATGGGGAGCCAGGGAACTAGCCATGGGAAACAATAGAACTAGCGATACCAAGCCATAGAACCAGCCATATTAAGCCATGGACCTAGCCAAGAAACAGGCAGAGAAAGCAAAGGAACTAGTCATAGAGCTAGGCAGAGCAAGCCACGATATAAGCCATAGGAGTCCATGGAACTAGCCATGAGAAGCCATGGAACGCACCATAGGATGCCATGGGACCATCCAGAAGTCATGGAAATAGTCATGGGATTAGCAATACTGCGCACGGTCAAACTCACTCCCGCGCCCGGCCTTCGTGGACCAGTTCTCTACGGATTTAGCTGCGACTCCAATAGGCAACCCTGCTTGGGTAATTATCCATATATAGCCATGGAACTAGCCATGGAACTAGCCGTGGATCTAGCCATGGCAATCGCCATGGACCCAGCCATAGGAAGCCATGGGATTAGCCATAGCAGGGCACGGGGTCAACCGTGACAACCCATGGAAGTCGCCATAGAAGGCCATGGCACCAACCATAGCAAACCATTGAGCTAGCCATAGGATGACATGAAACCAACCATTGGGGGCCACGGAACTAGCAATTGAAAGCCGTGGAACTAGCCAAATGAGCAATGCAACTATCCAGAAGCCATGGAACGGCCAAGACCGCACAAGGTCAAATTTTGGGCCCGCGCCCGAAACTTCGATATATATTCTCCAGGCCTGCCTATTTGGGCGAACAAGTTGAACACCGAACATCAACAGCGAATGCATTGATGGAGGTGATAACAGACTCATGATGACATAAAAAACACAGCTTCAACGATATTGCAACAACCGCGATGTGCAACCGAGGCCTACGGCTTCAAGAGCACGGCCACGTAAAATAATTAATGTCCTGGAGTCTTTGGGATAAATGTATTAAATGTCCTGGCCCCCCCCAGATCCCCCAGACAGAGCGTCCCAGGCCGAGTGTGGTTGCGAGTCTGGACTGTGCTCCAGACAGTGGGTGCTTGAAGGCGCAGCGCTGGTCACGCAGTTGTCCGTAGCAGTTGGCTCAGGCAAAGAGCTAGCGTTGCAGTTTCATGTTGCATTTCCTGGAGGAGAGCCGGGCGCTGGGCGTCTTCACGGGGGCGGGGGGGAAGGGGGATCGGGGGCTCTATCGGGCCCGGGCCGAAGGTTCTGGGCGTCTTAACGGGCCTGGGCCGAGGCTTCTGGGCTCGCCGAGGCTCCTGGGCGTCGGCGGTGGACAAACCTCCCTGTAGTCAACCTCCCCGTAAACGAAAACGGCCTGGGACCGAAGCCGACGGGCCTGGACCCGCAAAATGCCGGCCGCGGCGCCCTCTCGCGATCCGAACACGGCCAATTCCTCAATCGACGTGTCAGGGCAGGAGGTCTGTCCACCCCCGAGGGCGTCCTCCTCGGGGATCTTCGGGCCCGGGTCAGTCCAGGCCCGGGTCCGCCGGGTCTGTCAGGACCTGCGGGATCCTGCAGGGTCAGTGCACCCAGGCCCGGGTCCGTGCACCCCTGGCTCTGCAGGAGGAGGAGGAGGAGGAGGAGGAGGAGGAGGAGGAGGAGGAGGAGTTGGAGGAGGAGGAGGAGGAGTTGGAGGAGGAGGAGGAGCGCGATCCAGCGCTCCGACCGCCCCCGGCTTGCATGGACCCCCGCCTCTCGAGCCCCGACGTCCGCCCCTTCTGGGCCCGCCGGGAGTGCAGGAGACCCCAGAGCCGAGTCGACAGGTCGGATCGGCGATCGAAAGGGATCGGATCGGCGGAAGTCGGCAGCCGAGTCGGGAAAAAAATCGGATCGGCGGACATCGGGAGGCCATTCTGCCTCCCATGAGAGCTCGGAGCCCCTATCGAGATCCCGAGTCGAATCGACTCAGAGTCGGAAGCACTCGAGATCGACGCGAAGCGAATCGGAGGAATCGAAACGAGCCTTTGGACGCCCGAAATGGGTACGGAAAAAATGGGTACGATGCCCAACAACAAATGTTGTCCCAAACCAGCAGCGGCCGCTGTTGGGCAGGCGGCCTTCTGTCTCGAATGGACACAGGCCGCGGCGGCGTGGACAGCGAATCCTGCTCAAAATGAGCAGGAACTGCTGCTGGGCATTGTACCCATTCTTTCCGTACGGCAGGTTCGTGTCGTGTCGACCCCGGCGTTGGTTCCTGACACCGCGGGGATCGTTCAACCTTGAACGATCGGCCGCTGCCGCAACGTCCGATCGTTCAACATCGATCGATTCTGGGTCGCCGGCGGCGTTCAACCTTGAACGCCCGCGCTGGGGTCGCCGCGGGTCGACACGACGCAAGCCCACCGTACCCATTTCGGGCGTCCAGAGAGCCTCGGGCCGCCGCGGATCCGCCTCGGGCCGCCGGCACCCCGGGCGTGCGGCCCCCCGGGGGGCCGAATTGCGCGGATCCCCGCCCACGGGCCCGGCTCTCCGCGCGTCGTGGGCCACATCACGCCCAGGGGGGGTGTTTTGTTAGGGGGCCACATGCGAACCCTGCCCCCTCCTCCTCCCCCTCCTCCTCCCCCTCCTCCTCCTCCGCCGACGGCCGTCGACAGCCGCCGATCGGCCGCCGAAGGCCGCCGGCGGCCGCCGATGCCCGCCGACGGCCGCCGATCGGCCGCCGATCGGCCGCCGATGGGCTGCCGGTGGGCCGCCGATGGGCCGCCCCGCACGCAGAGGCTCTGCGGCTGCGGCCTGGGGGTGAGCCCGTGGACGATCACGATTTCTGAGGGGAAGGGTGGGGCTCACTTCGTTCGGGAGCTCCCGAGCGAAGCGAACCCCACCCCCTCCCCCTCAGAAATCGTGGGGGGCAGGGGCAGGGTTCGCATGCGGCCCCCTATTTGTCGCCATCGCCTCGTCGGGGGGGCGCGCAGACGTGGGTTCGCGACCCGTGGGCTGGGCGCGCGGTCGCCAAGCCCATGGATCGAGGGAGGTGCCCTCCCCAAAATGCGGCCGGGGGCGCCTCCTTCGGCGGCGGCAAGCAGCGCTTCCCTATGGAAAGGGGGCCCGTCGCCAATCCACGCCCCCTTTAATCCATGTTTGCGATCGCCTGACCTTGGGAGCCCCCCAAGCCAGGCGGTGAGGTATCAGGTGGCGACCTGGCGCATCCCCCAAAAGTCGCGGTCACCGCGGGGCTTTGTGACTCCTGGCCCCGCCAGCGTTCGGGACGTCCTTGAAAAAAACCGCACGAATCCCCAAACCGGGTGGTGACACCAAATCGTCAGAGACTCACCCCTGGGTGTTGTCACCACCACGTTTAAGGACTACGTACCAATTTACGGGACCTCGCCAGGCTCAGGGACCGTTAACAAACCGGCTCAGAATAATCAAACGCTCGCTCTGGGGTGGAAATGACATGTCAGACTGGAGCAAAAACGCGGCACGGCTCAAATTACATCCGAGGAATGGGAACGCTTTTCGGAAAGCCCTGGGAGGCTTCCCGAACCTCCGACGTCGTGATCCTTTCGACACCGTTTCTTGTTCTTCAGGGTTGGCCTCCAGATTCCGGTAGCCGTTCTCTGTCTGACCGCTGGGCCAAAAAACTGTCCGGAATGAAAAGCTGGTCCCCCTGGGAAGCAGTCGAGACGTCTGGGGGGCACGCACTGAGATAAGCACGACGTCGGAGGTCTGGGTCTGGATCCATTCGGAGGTACTCCATTGTCTTCGGATATTATCGGGCAAATTTCTGGAAATTGTCGATCCCCCGAACTGCTTTCTGGCGTGCTCGATCGCCTTCGGAAATTTTCGGGAGCCTCTGGACGCTCTGGGCTTCTTCGCCGCTTCCACAGGGATCGAGAAGTCTCCAGAGGCGTCCTTCCACCACTCGTCCGCCAGCTCGAAGATGAAGCCGCCCAGGCACGTGCCTCCGCTCTGGACGCTGTTGTCGAGCATCTCCGAGAAGAGGGCCCTGGCAGGGCGTCGAGCAGAGATGGGGGGACGAGCTTCGGGCGTCTGCGAGCGGTCTCTCTCTCTCTCTCTCTCTCCATCTCCGACGGCGCCAGGCACCGTCGCTCCCACGCCCCTCCCCGGCGCGCGCGCCGGAGGCGTCGCCGGGGGCGCCCGCGGAGAGACCGTCCTGCCCTCGGAAGCTCGAAAGGTCGGACGTTCGTGCTTGGCCTGGGTCGGCCCCCGCTCCCTCTCTCTCTCCTCCTCCGCCGCCCTCCCTGCCCCCTTCCGTTCTCCTGCAGGGTGGTGCAAGCCGCTTCAACGGCATCCCCGTCGTCATTGCTCTGCCGCCAGCGCAGCTACTCTGCCCAGCCGCCGGCGTAGAACAAGTTTTCTTTGCCTGGGTCCCATATGGGCCCTCGGCCGCTCTCATGGGACACAGGTGCTGTCCCGGGCCTCCCGAACGCAAGCCGTCTGCCGCCGCGACCTGCTCGCCATGCACGCTGGAGGTCTTGTCCCAAGCTCCCTCCATCCTCTGACAATTGACTCCTGGGCCTGTCCACGGGTGTGTTCTGGCTAGGACTTCGAAGGTTCCAGCCGCGAACACGAGGGGGGGCCGAGGAGGCACAAGCAAAGCAACAGCGACATACACACCAGCAAGCATCGGTCCACTCTTTCTCTGGCCCCTTGGCCTGGTGGCCTTGGCCTGGTCCTCCTCGTCCTCCTCGCCGGTGTTGGCGTTGAAGGCGTCCGCCCCGAACTCGGCCAGGAACATCGGCTTGGTGGAGCGCGCCTCCCAGTCAGCGAAGAGGGGGCCGAAGGTGAGGCCGCTGTACACATTTATGCCTCGAGGGTCGAGGACGATCCCGCCATCCGGCAACTCGACAAAATCGAGACGATCGGCTTTCGTTATTTTGGGGTCTCTGGAGGCCTCGTCTGGGCCTCAGGAAAACAACGAAGGATGACGAACCGGCCGTGGAATGTCCTGAATCGAGATCGAAGGATGTTGTCGGGTCGTTCTGGGGCCACTTCCTGGTGGCCACGGCTGGATCCGCCTCGCCACTCTGGCCGGAAAGCACCCCTCGGACGGGGGGTAGATTATTTCTTGGGGGGAGGAAGGGAGGAGGGACTGAGACCTTTGGAATCGTGACAGAATTCTTGGCGGCAACCTTGTCCGTTCTTAGCCTGCAGAAGCCCGTCTCTGACCCCAGGACTAAAAACAAGGAGATACTGGCCTCCAGGACGGGGTAGAGGCCAGTTCGCCCGCGCCACGAATAAAATCCTGACGTCGGATGTCTGGCGAGGAGGAAAAGAAATGATCAGCGTCCTCCTCTTCCCCCTGACGCTGCTTCCACTCCTCCCTCCCTCCTGCTCCTGCCGCTGCTCCTCCTGATCCTCCCGCCTCCACCTCCCCAGTCCTCCTTCCCTCTGCACCTCTCCTCCTCGTCGTCCTGCCTTCTCCTGCCCATGATCATCGTCCTCGTCCTCCTCCTCCTTGTTCCTCCTCCTCCTCCTGCTCCTGCTCCTGCTTCTACCTCGGGGATAGACAGACCTCCCTTTAGTAAAACGTGGTTTAGTGAAAACGGCCTGAGGCCCAAACCTGGCGGGCGCAAGCCTGGAAAATAACGGTCGCGGCGCCCTCTCGAGAACCGAAAACGGACAATTCACTAATCGACGTGTCACTGTTGGGGGTTCTGTCCACCTCCGACTACCCGCCTCTCCCCCCGCTTCTCCTCCTCACTCCGGCTCCTCCTCCTCCTTCCCTTGGGCTGGGCAGGACGGCGAGGAGTGTACTTAGAGGAGGGAGGATGAGGAGCAGGAAGGAGGGAGGAGAAGGAATGAGGATGAAAAGGAGCAGGAAGGAAGGAGGGAGTAGGAAGGAGGGAGGAGAAGGAAGGAGGGAGTAGGAAGGAGAGAACAAGCGGATGCGAATGACTCAGAGGGAGGAACACATACCTCTACCGACTCGAATCAGCACCGCAACGGAACATCTTCAATCTTCTCTGCGTCTGGAAGCCGTTCCTGAACCCCATGATGCGACGGGTGATTAAAGACCAGTCCGGCGAAGAGGTCGAGATCTCCGAGAGAGCGTGATCCACCGCCGCTTTACTGCCGAAATTCCCTCCCCTCTTCCTTTGGCGCCTGGGGGTTCCCCCCCCCTCCGAACCCCCCCCCTGCTGGAACCCCTCCCCGGCCCCCCCCTTCCCCCGGCAAACCCCCCCTCCCCCCCCTCCCCCCCCCCCCCGGAAACCGGGGGGGTCACTACCGGTTCCCCCCCCCCCCTTCGAAAACCAGGGGGGGGTCACTACCGGTTCGAACCCCCCCCCCCCCCCCCACACACACACACAAAACACACACACACACACACACACACACACACACACAAACACACAAACACACAAACACACAAACACACAAACACACAAACACACAACACACAACACACAACACACAACACACAACACACAACACACAGCACACAACACACAACACACAACACACAACACACAACACACAACACACAACACACACAACACACACACACAAAACAAAACGCGAGAGAGGGGTCACTACCGGCCGGTTCGAACTCCCCCCCTCCTGAAAACCGGTGGGGGGTCAGGTTCGAACCCCCCTTCCGGAAAACCGGAGGGGGGTCGGTTCGAACACCCCCCCCCTCGTCCGGAAATCAGAGGAAGGTCACTATACCGGTTCGAACCCCTCCCCTGGGGGGGCCCCCCCTCCAGAAAACCAGAGTGGGGTCACTACCGGTTCGAACCCCTCGGCCACTCCGGAAAACCGGGGGTGGGGTCACCACCGGTTGGAACCCCCCCCCTCGAAAACCGGGGGGGGGTCACTACCTGTTCGAACCCCTCCCTCCCCCCCCATGCTCACAGACAGCAAACAACTCTGAGTCCCTACCACCGTCCCCCCTCGAAAACCGGAGGGCCACCCCTCACCACCCCTGGAAAACTGAGGGGGGGGTCGCTACCGGTTCGACCCCCCCCCCCTCGAAAACCAAGGGGGGTCACTACCAGTTCGAACCCCTCCCTCCCCCCCCATGATCACAGACAGCAAACAACTCTGAGTCCCTACCACCGTCCGCACCACAACCCCAACTGCTGTCCCCAGCACCACTTTTTCCTCACCACCACTGTCCCCACTGTTCCCACCACCGTCACCACTGTCCTCACCAGTGCCCTCACCACTGTCGCACTGCCCCCACTGTCCCCACCACTGTTCCCACCACAGTTCCACTCTCCCCACTTTCTCCACGGCCCCAACCACTGTCCCACTGTCCCCACTGTCCCCGCCGCTGTCCCACTGAGCTGTCCCACTGTTCCCACCACTGTCCCCGCTGTCCCCACCACTGTACCACTGTCGCCACCACCAGTGTACCCTCCACTCACTGTCGCACTGCCCCCACTGTCCCAACCACGGTTCCACTCTCCCCAGTTTCTCCACGGCCCCAACCACTGTCCCACTGTCCCCACTGTCCCACTGTCCCCGCCGCTGTCCCACTGAGCTGTCCCACTGTTCCCACCACTGTCCCCGCTGTCCCCACCACTGTCCCTACTGTACCTCTGTCCCATTATCCCACCGCCGTCCTCGCCACCGCCCTCACCACTGTCGCCACTACCACTGTACCCTCCACTGCCCCACCGTTTCCACCACATTCCCACTGTCCCCACACCACTGTCCCCACCACCACCGTCCCCACCACTGTCCCGCTGTCCCCACTGTTCCCACCATTGTCCCCGCTGTCCCCACCAGTGCCCCCACCAGTGTCTCACTGTCCCTACTCTCCCCGCCATTGTCCCACCACTGTCCCGCTCTTCCCACTTTCCCCACGATCCCCACCACTGTCTCACTGTCCCCACTGTTCCCACCACTGTCCCACTGTCCCCGCCGCTGTCCCACTGTGCTGTCCTACCGTCCCCACTGTCCCCATCATTGTCCCACTGTTCCCACTGTCCCCACCACTTTGCCCGCCTTCACCACTGTCCCTACCACTACCGTCCCACCACTGTCCCACTGTCCCCACCACTGTCCCTCTGTCCCCTCACCACTGTCCCCACCACCACCGTCCCCACCACTGTTCGCACCGCAGTCCCACTGTCCCCGCACCACTGTCCCCACCACCACCGTTCCCACCACTGTCCCAACATCCCCACCATTCTCCAACTGTCCCGAGGAGCGGGCATCGTTTGCCGGCGGCGCGGGGGGGGGGGGAGGGTTCGAACCGGTAGTGACCCCGCCCAGTTTTCGAGAGGGGGGGGTTCGAACCAGTAGTGACCCCCTCACTTTTCATGATGGACTGGGGGGGGTGTCGAACCGGTAGTGACCCACCCTCGGTTTTCGAGGGGGGGGGGGGGGTTAGGAACCCCCAGTGACCCCCTCCGATTTTCCGCCAGCAGCGGTAGAACACGCCCTTTCAGATCTCCAGGGGCCGGATACCCGAAGCTCGCAAAAACCTGGACGGAGGTGCGGAGAGGAGGCGGAGGAAGAGGTGCCCCACACGTCGATGTCCGACTGTGCGTCGATCTCCTCGGAGCCCGGCACCATCCCGTACACCGTGGCAACCAGGTGCAGGGGGTCGACCTTCTTCACCAGGCGAGCCACCTCCTGGACTCGACTGGAGGCGTCCTCGGGGGTCAAGATGTGCCCTCGTCCTTCTGCAGCGCTCCTGGTGCTCCTCCAGCTTGGGCATCTGAAGGCCCATTTGAGCCCCAGGCCATCACAAAACGATCTGGTTCGAGAGGTCTGGAGGCCACGTAATGAACAAATCACGACGCCGGAGGTCTGGGTCCTCCTCATCGTTTTTTGTTCGTCGCGACTGGCGCAATAAACTCCCTTACCTAGACCTTTCTCTGCTTCTCTGTCCCCCCTCCCCCTCCTCCTCCCCCATCTTCTACCCCCCTTCTCCTTCGTCAGTCTCCTCGTGTCACCACGAGACGCGTTGGTAGTGCGAGCCCGGCTCTACTCAGAATGCAAATGCGTCTTCGCAGCTTACAGAAAGAATGCGGAGAAAACGCAACAGTTACAGGGATAGGAGCGGGCACATCGTTTTGAGATTTACGCTCCCGCTTGAGGATACCTGGCGGACTAGTATCCCGAGGAACTTGGCCAAATGCACTGAAATCAAGCTTTCGTCTGAGAGTTTAACCAAAGCAGAAACACGGATGGAGGGCGACATTCCATTCAAAGAAGGACTTCGTCTGGGAATGCATTTGTTTAGTATGCTGAAGCATGAAACCTCCAGCAACTGCTCGGATGGAGGGCAACTTCTTTCTGACAGCGCCAGGGGTGGCAGCCCGTACGCGTCTCAAAACTTCTCATCCGAAAACTTACCTGCCGCACCCACACAAGGTGGAACACTCCGTGCTTTCACCTGTTCGACCCTGAGTGTTCCGAGCGCATGGACCCTCCAACAACTGAACGGATGGAGCGCGGGTCATCTTTAACATCTCGTTCCAGCCCTGATATACAGGTCGTGTCATGGCCGAGGGCGCATCACTCTTAAACGCACCTTGGATGTGTACAGCACACGGTCCAGGAAAATGTGTAAATCGTCTCGCACCGTAGCAGTAGATGGCACTCGCCATCTCGATCCTCCCAGGGGGACCATTGGCAGGCCAACGGGGCTTTCGACTCCTCCAACTTTCCTCGGAGCGGGGCGACTTGAGACAACGGTAGCTCAGAATCGGTCCCCGGACGGGAACCCCCCCCGGGGTCCAAACGCACTGGTTGCCCGAGCTGCGTCCAGCCGTGGCGACGAGTGAGCCCCCCCGAACGCCAACTCTTCTCTGAATTCCATGGGACGCGCAGGAACGGCAATCGTCCAGAATTGCGTTGCCCATATGAAAAATGTTTGGAAACGCATTTTGGGCTCATTGAGTACGGTTTTGTTGAAGGAAATTGCGTTTCCCATAATTCGCAGGGCGAAGCCCTGCGAATTATGGGAAACGCAATGTCCTGAAAAACCATACTCAATGAGCCGGAATTGCCTTTTGAAAACCTGGAAAACCTTTGAAAAACCGACTCGATGGGCCAGAAATGCGTTTCCCATAATTCCGAATTGTGGGAAATGCAATTCTGGCCCATTGGGTGCGGCTTGTCCAGGGAAAGTGCGTTTCCCATAATGCAAATTCAGAATTATAGGAAACGCTGTTTCCCAGAATTAGAATTCCGAATTTTGGGAAACGCAATTTCCGAATTATGGGAAACGCAATTCTAGCCCATCGAATGCGGCTTTTCCAAGGAAATTGCGTTTCCCATGATTCGGATGCCAGATTAAGGGAAATGCGGTTTCCCGGAATTCGAATTCCGAATTATGGGGAACGCAATTTCCTTTGAAAAACCGCACTCGATGGGCTGGAATTGTGTTTCCCATAATTCGTAATTGTGGGAAACGCAATTCCAGCCCATTGAGTGCGGTTTTTCCCGGGAAATCGCGTTTCCCATAATTCGAATTCCAAATTTCAGGAAACGCGGTTTCCCAGAATTCGAATTCCGAATTATGGGAAACGCACTTTCCTTTCGAGATTGCGTTCCCCATAATTCGAATTCCGAATTTCGGGAAACGCGTTTCCTGCGCAATGTGTCCTTGGGGCAGTCGTCCGGGGTTGCGTTTTCCATACTTCGTTCTTTTCAGATTGTTGAATCGTGGGAAACGCAAACCCGGACGGCAGCCCACAGGAACATACTGGTACTGTGCGTCCTCCTTGGAGGCCCGCGTCCGACCCGAACATGCAGTATACCCATCTTGTCGTACATCGTTTCCCGAGCGGTGTGGCCAGAAAGCGCCCGCCAACGACGCATTAACTACAAGATTTCTCGGTGCGCGCGTCGCCACTGGGGGGGCGACGCACACACAGCATCAGTACACCCTGCGAAATGCTTAAGAAATCATGGGTTAAGAAATTCATAGTCTCAGAATTTGAATAAAAACACAAACTTCCCATTCAAATCTTAGGATTTACACTGATACGTTCAGAATAATCGAGACTCTGGCCGAAAACTTAGGTTTTCTTAAGCATCGCCTAAGGTGTATGTTGGGGTGACGCCGATTTCAAGCTCCGAGCCTTTGGTTTGGCAAGGGGCCATCACCAATCCGACCCTGCCAGGTCCAGAGCCCCTCCGCGGCAGGGCCCCCGGCAGGCCCGTGGGCGCCGGCCGCAGACAACACGAGCACACGCACCTGCGCGCACCTGCGAAGACGGAAATTCCGTAGCACAGAAGGATGTATTGCAACATCCGCCCCCCCTCTCCTCCTCCTCCTCCTCCTCCTCCTCCTCCTCCTCCTCCTCCTCCTCCTCCTCATCATCATCATCATCATCATCATCATCATCATCCTGGCTGGTGGCGCAGCGGAACATCCGTATTGTGTGCTGTCGGAGGAATGGAACTGCACACAAGCACCACCACATGGGGGGTGCCTCCACAGGGGGAGGGATGATCCTATAGGTTGCCTTGGTGATGATACCCCGAGATCAAGATCATCCTCCCTCGGTGGAGGCAGCTGCCACTATTGGTGTTGGTGCCAACCTCTAGACCTCCGATGCTGGGCTCGGATGACCTGAGGCTTCTCCCCCTCCTCTTCCATCTTCGCACCCCTCCCATCTCCCTCCTCCTTCGTTTCCTCCACTCCCCCGCACCCTCGTACGCCCCCCGGGACACAACGTCCTCAGGGGTCATGTCTGAATACAGCATGTTGAAGTTCCACTCGTTCCCGATCACCCACATCAGGATCGCAGGGTGGTCCTTCAGAGAGCTCATTGCGATTAAATGGGGAAGGGGACAGGGAGAAAGGGGGAGGAGCTAGGAGGACATGGCGGTCCTTCAAAGACTTCACAAGCGGGACTACACTGTCGGGCTCTGCGTCCCCCTCTATGTAGATGGTGTTGAGCACGTGGATGCCCTTCCTGGGCAAACGCAAACCCAAAAAGACCTCGACTGACCTCTGCAAGCACCCGAAGATCTCCGACGAAACCACTACTTGGAACCTCCCACCACCTCCGAGGATACAGGTGGTGCTGAGCACATGCGCGCGGGGATCGGTGTTCGATGCCAGGGACGCTCGCGGAGGCGAAGGCGAGGTCTGAGGCCCCCAAATCTCGCCATCGGCGCGATATCCCCTGAAACACCGCCCCTGGTACCACCAAGATGGTGGCAACGGGGCGACGTTTGGGCTTGCGCCCAACTTGGAATGCTCTCTTCCTGTGGAAGACGTCCAGGACCTCCCTGTCGGTGATCGGTTCGTACGTGCGCACCGCATTGATGCCCGCCGCGGCCATCAGTTCGCTGTCCACCTCTTCCGCCAGAGCAGAAGGAGGCAGTAGGCAAGAGGACGCAGAAGGCTTGAGGTTCGAAGATCGAGGTCCGAGATAGGAGAGGCAAGGGAATCACGGATCGAAACTGTACCTGACGTATCCGACGCCCGTGGCCCTCTTCTGGGCCTGCAAGGCCTTCGGGGGGGTGGGGGCTGTCCGATCCGCTGGATTTTTTTGAGCGGTGCCCTTTTGATCGTCACGCTATGGTTTACCAGCTTTGCCATTATACTTGCGTTCTTCGGTTAATTCATCATCTGGTGGTTTGCCCTGTGATTCCTCATGAACGTTTGTATAGCCTTCCCATCGTTATCCCAGCTCTTCTGCCTTCCTCTCATGGAAGCGCCTCACGCTTAACATCAGAGTGTAGCAGCCTTTACACACGGATCCCTTTTTGCGGCGAGCTCACACAAGGATTATAGTATCGGGGGTCTGCAGTGGCCCCCGCATGTCGACATCCTTTTGGAGCAGCCTTTACCAAAGGATCTCTTTTGTGGCGGCCTTGCAAAAAAGGATTTTTGTGCGGGATCGGCAGTGGCCTCCGCCAGGAACACATCCCCATCGCAGCCTGTACCCAGGGATTTCCCCTCTGGCAACCTCACAGAAATATTCAACGTGTAGGAGATCTGCAGCGACCTCCACAATAAGACATTCTTTTTGTAGCAGCCGTTACCAAAGGTTTCCTTGTGTGACGACCTTACAACAGGATTCGTGTGCGGGATCTGCACTGGCCTTCACCAATATAATCCCCCCATCGCAGCCTGTACCCAAGGATTCCTCCCCTGGCAACCTTACATAAAGATCTAAGTGTACGGGATCTGCAGTGGCCTCCACTACAAGAATCTTTTTTTTAGCAGCCTGTACAAAAGGGATTCATTGCGTGGCGGCCTTACAGAAACAAAAAACAGGAAACAAATGTCTTCAAGGGAAGATTAGGATACATATAGGACAGCCTGTGACTTTCTGTATTTGTATGGCGCAGACGCTCCGCAATAAACTCTTTCTGTAAGAACGCAACCAAACGGATTCTTTTTAAAGGCCGCCACAAGTGGAGCGCCTCCATTGTAAGAAATACAGATTGTCACAGGCTGTCACAGGTGTTCCTATTTTCCCGTGGGAACATTTGAGGTTTGTTATGTTGTTCATGGTGTTTTTCATGTCTTCCTCCCTCGCTTTCCTGGACTCAACGTGCCGCCACTGCAGATCCTCCACGCTTACAACTCTTTTGTATGGCCGCCACACAAGGAAGCCTGTGTTCACAGGCTGTCATGAGAGGATTCGAAGTGTGGAGGCCACTGCAAATCCTCCACCCTTCAAATCCTGTGGTACGGTCGCCACAAAATAAATGCCTTTGCAAATGCTGCTACAGAAACGATAGTAATTAGAGTGTCTCCGCCATAAACATACCCACAACCACACGTTTTCGTAGCGTTGTCCTATCTTCCAGTTTTCCATGTGGAGACACCGGGCCCCCTATTTCTCTGGCGTTCCTCCCTTTAGCTTTCCTGGGCTCCAGGTGCCGCGCCACTGCCCGCCACAAAAAAAATAAATCCCTTTGTCGAGGCTGGCGCACAAAGGTTCTTCTTGTGGAGGCCGCTGCAGAGCCCCCACACTTGAAATCCTTCTTATGCAAGGTCGCCACAAAACATGTGGAAAAGGCTGCCGCAACAAGCATTTAAGTGTTGAGCGCCTGCGCCATACAAATACCGACAGTCACAGGTTGTCCTAGCTTTTTCTCTTGTCCCAATGAATACACAACGTTGTTTCGTGTTGCTCCTGTTTCGTTGTCTTGTGTTGTTCCTTAACTCTTCTGGGCTCAAGGTGCCTCCGCTGCAGCTCCCCCGCAATTACATCCGTTGTGCAAGGCCGCCACACAAGGAATCCCTTTTTGCACAGGCTGCTATGGGAGGATTAGAATGGAGGCGTCATAATAATCATCATCGTCATCACCGCCACCATCATCATTATTAGCATCAGCATGAGCATGAGCATCAGCATCATCATCATCGTCATCATCAGCATCATCAGTTTCGTCATCATCATCATCATCATCATCATCATCATCATCATCATCATCATCATCGACATCACCATCACCATCACCATCACCATCATCATCATCACCATCACCATCACCATCATCATCTTCATCTTCATCTTCATCTTCATCTTCATCTTCATCTTCATCTTCATCTTCATCTTCATCTTCATCTTCATCTTCATCTTCATCTTCATCATCATCATCACAATCACCATTTGCCACGGTCGTGTTTCGACCATCCCAGGGCCAGGCGAAGAGGCCGAAGACGGCCAGAAACGTCCCGCCGTGATGTTCTCACGACGCGCGCACACTCAGGATGGAAAGGGGGCTGGCGAGGAGGGCCGAGGAAGCCTCCTGGACGTGGGGGCCCGCCATCAGGCAGCCCGAGACGCCACGGCACGCCTCGCGTGGCGCGCGCCGGGCGCCCGACCTCTCGGCCACTCGCCCCGAGGGGGCCGGCCACTCGCCGACAGACCCTCTGGCGCAGGGCGGTGCCCCGGCGAGCCTGCGGCCTGCGGAAGCGCGGGCTGACGGTCGGGAGCGTGTGCCCGATGTGTCGCGGCGGCGGGCCCCGGCGACACGCTCATGCACCTGAAAGCGGATATTTAGGTGCCGCTCCGCTCCGCGGGGTGGGAGGCCAAGAGATGCCATGGGACGTGGACGCCTCGGAATGGGGAAGTGGTTCGCCCGTCGCGCCGATGCGGTGGGCCAGAACCAGCGGCGCGACGACATGCTAAGCAAAAGTTCCCGACCGTAGCGAAAAGGGCTGGCCGTCGCGACATCCTCGCGTCGAGTTAGGACTGGGCCCCTCTTCTCTCTCTCTCTCTCCCTCTCTCTCTTCCCCCTCCTCAAAAGCCAGCCCCAGAGCATGTCGTCCTCGGCGGGTTCGATCTTCTTCCGAGTGGGAGAGGGACAGGACGTGGGAGGGGAAGGAGGGAATGGAGGTGGAGGGAGCAGGAGCAGTGGCAGGGAGGAAGAGGGAACAGGGAGGACGGAGAGGAGAACAGGGAGGAGGAAGCAGGGAGGACGAGAGGGAGGAAGAGAGAAGAGTGAAGAGGGAGAGGGAAAATGACGATCTCTTTGCCCTGTCGTTTAGCGCCACTGCCGTCGCAGTTCAAGCCTGGTCAGACTGCGCAGGAAAGAGAGGGGGGGATCACAGATCAGGCCAGCGATCACAGATCGGGCCAGCTCCCCTTCCCGGGGACCAGACTTTCATCCCGGGTCGTGCTTGACGGTGGGCCCTACGCGAGGGCATCCGGAGGCCGAAACATGGCCAACGGCCTCCCGCCCTGAGGTTTCCACGACGCGGGGAGGTCGGGGTCCGGGAGTCGAGGCTCGCCCCCCTCCGGCCTCTCCCGGCGCACGCTCCGACCAGAGCTGCACGGCGAGCCCCGCCGCGGCGACGGACCGCCGCCCCGAAGAGAGGCCAGAAGCAACGGCAACGCCGCCAAGGCGCACTGGACGCCTCGAGCCTCCTCGAGGAGCCTCGAGACTCGAGGAGCCTCCTCGAGGAGCCTCGACGCATGGAAGCTCCGACCCTCCCCCGAAGCCTCCGCCGTGGGCCCCGACCTGCCCCGAGGCCTCGAGGCCTCGACCCGCCCCGAGGCCTCCCGACGGCGCGGCGCGGCGGGGCGCGCGCGGTGGCCGCCTCCGCGTAGCCCCGGAAGTTGACCCCGCCGTTGGCCTGAACGCCCCCGGGGGGCACCGGGTTCCAGTTCACGCCCTTCAGGAACACGGGGCCGCTGTCCGACAGGAGCACCTGCGGCCTCTGCCCTCCTCCCGGGGCCCTCGGTCCTCGAGCCTCGGCGGCAGGGCCGAGTCCTCCTCCGCCTCCGCCTCGGTCCTCGATCCTCGAGAGGCTGCGTGGTGAGCAGGGTCACGTCGGGGATCTGTGCCCCCAAGCATCCGACCTCGCGTCATCATCATGTGCTTGACTCAGGCCGAGGATCCATGGAGGTCTGGTGACTTTTCCACGACATGTTTGCCACGACGTGGAGACGAAGAATCGCTGTTCTTCTTGGAATCGCCGTCCTCGCTCTCCTCGTCGGTCTCATCCATCTCTTTTCCTCACAAACCGCTCCTCCCTATCGCACCCACAGAAAAGTCGGTAGGGCGGACCTGGCGTTTCGCCCAAGACTTCCTCACTGTTCGTAACCTTGAAGATTGAACTTGGGAGTGCAACACCTTCAAACGCAGAAGACAAACACAAACTCAAAATGTGGCTCTCGCCTTTGCGCCGCGCGCGTTCGTCTTACACATTTGCAACAGCTTCAAGGATGGAGGGTGGCTGGTTTTCAACACGTGGATCTCGCCTGAGTGCCGCGTACGCTCGCCTGAAAAGTTGGGAACTGCGGATGGAGTGCGGCTGGTTTTCATCATATGGTTGCCGCCGTAGCGCCGCGCACATTCGTCTGGAAAGTTCGTTGCAACCCCAAAGGATTCGCGGTGTTGACGTCGCACGATTGAGTCTGGCACGATTTAGGGTTGTCAAGACGCAATAATCACGTTCACTCGCAGCGCTGACGTCCCAGGAAAGGAGTTCCGGCACGATTTAGGATGCGCCGTGACCCAGCAGTCACGTTGATTCGCGCAGTTGATCTCCCAGGAATGGTCTTTCGGCACGAGAGAGAATTCCCAGACGGTGGTCCTCCAATGAGGCCCACCATGAACATAATCCCTTGTAGTGGCCTATGAATGGGAAACTAGGAGGGAGGGTTTATTGCGACATCCTTGGTGCGTCTTGGGCTTACACTGGATATCCTCCTCGTCCTCCTCGATGCTCTATCCTCCTTCACCTTCCCCCGCCTCCTGGCGCCATGAAAAATTGCAACGGAACGTAGTTTGGCTATGTTCGGCCCCTGGTCCCTGACCGGGCCGTGAGACAAAAAACTGACTCGGCATGCAGAACAGGTCACCTGGACGAAGTCAGGACCTCCGGGGGTCCGCGTTGAGCAAAACACACGTCGTGGATCTGAATTCCTCAGACATCCGACGTCACGCTTTTCCATGAAAGTAGAGCCCTGGAGGCCCGGAGACTCGTTTGTTTCGAAACATGTTCGCCACGACGTGGAGACGAGGAGCCGCTGCTGTCCTCGGCGTCGCCGTCCTCTCTCTCCTCGTCGGCTTCTTCGCTCGCTCGCTCGCTCTCGTCGCCGTCTCCTGGCCGTTCTTGGCCTCGTCGTCGTCTTTCTCCTAGCTCTGCTCGTCGTCCTCCTCCTGTTCCGCGGTGTTTGTGGGTCCTCGGGGCCCTGGGGGTCTGGCGGGGGTGGGGGGACGCGGGGGCTTCCGATCCCGGCCCCTCGAGCGGGAACGGGGGGACATAGAGGAGGAAGACTGGGATGGAGGAGGAGGAGGAGGAGGAGAGAGGGGAGGAGGAGGAGGAGGAGGAGGAGGAGGAGGAGGAGGAGGAGGAGGAGGAGGAGGAGGAGGAGGAGGAGGACGAGGAGGAGGAGGAGGAGGAGGAGGAGGAGGAGGAGGAGGAGGATGGAGGGCAAGGAGGAGGGAGGACGAATACTGAGGGAGGTAGAAGAGGAGGAGGAGGAGGAGGAGGAGGAGGAGGAGGAATTAGGAGGAAGAGGAGCAGGAGGGGCAAGAAAGAAGAGGAGGAGGGAAAAGAGGAGGGGTACTCGAAATGGAGCAGAGGAGAGAGGGTGAGAGAGAGAGGGAGGCAGAGGTTTCCAGAGATCTAGGGCTGCCCGAATTCCAGGGGAGGCCCAAACTAAGCTAACTAGTGGTCCCCAGGGGCCTCCAGAGGCCTCGGCTCGACGACGACGCTGCGGAGCAGCCATGACTCGGGCAGCCGTGCTCCTGCGGAGGCCTCCCGGCTTCCCAGCGTGGGGTAGGAGCAGATGGGCTGGGAGGATCTCGCCGCATCGCCGATGTATCGCCAAGGCATCGGCGGCGTCGGCGATGCATCGCCGATGCATCGGCAACGTCGGCGTGGAGAAAACCGGGTTCTTCGTCGAGCCGCATCGCCGCTGCATCGGCGACGCAGCGCGATCATCGTGGCCTTATGCTCGGACCCCATGTGGGAGCCCAGATCCCTTGCCCCCTGGGTGGACCTATGGTAGCGAAAATCTCCTCGATGAGGGGTGGGTCAGCATCGGATCGGGAAATCAGATCGGATAGGAACGTGCGCCGGATCGGGCCGCATCGGCATCGAATCGGAGCGGCTGCGCCAGGATATGCAACAGCGCCGTGCAAGCACCGGGCCGGATCGTCGGAGTGTCGGAGTCGAATCTGGCAGGCCAACACCGATCGCCAGGGCAGACGCATACAAGAAGGAACCGTGCACAAGAAATCTTGGGGCACCTCGTTCGCCGGTCTTTGAGGGTCCCAAGGTGCCCCAGGGCTTCTGTGGGCCCCCTAGAGCCATCGGGGGATAACACAAAGTCTGTGGGGCACCAGCTGGCAGGCCGACTTCTGTTTCGTGTGTCTACTGTGCCACATCGGATCGGTCCGATCGAGATGGACCCTGCAGCGGGGGGGGGGCCCACGCCAGAGGGCAGGACCGGGGGGGGGCGAGGAGCGCCCCAGTCGACTGGAGCAAGGAGGGGGGAAGAGGACGAGGAGGAGGAGGAGGAGGAGGAGGAGGGGGAGGAGGAGGGAAACATGGAGGAGGAGGAGGAGGAGGAGGAGGAGGAGGAGGAGGAGGGAGGGAGGACGGAGACGGAGGAGGAGGAGGAGGAGGAGGAGGAGGAGGAGGAGGAGGAGGAGGAGGAGGAGGAGGAGGAGGAGGAGGAGGACGAGAGGAGGAGGAGGAGGAGGAGGGAGGAGGAGGAGGGAGGAGGAGGAGGAGGAGGAGGAGGAGGAGGAGGAGGAGGAGGAGGAGGAGGAGGAGGAGGAGGAGAATGCCCTCAGCGCGGTCTCCTAGGAGGCGGCTACCTCAGCGCAGAGATCTTTATAGACCGCTCGTGGGTCAACCCAGATGTGGAGTGGATGACGAGGACAGGACGGGCGGACGTATCTCGCACGCTCGGCAGCGAGCAAGTTTCATCGGCGGCCTACGGGCCACTGCCAGGGCCTGTGCAGAGCGCGGGCATGGCTGAGCAGTTCGCGTTTTACATGGTTTTCTGGCTCATGGGGCCCAGGGCGACCACTATCCCGGACCACAAGAACCTCTTGATATGTCTCCAGAAGGGCCCCGAGAAGATGAGCAGAGTTTCAGAACCGTATTGGGAAGTCTGGCGGCTGGTCTTCGGGAAAGTGAACGACGTGAGGTCGGAGAATGTGAATCTTCAGCGGGAGTTGTCTCCTAAAAGCAGAACGTTGCTCAAGAATCACGACTTCTCGGACTCCAGGTACCCTGGAAATCGGCAGGCCGAAAAGTAGTCGAGGTTGGGGGCTCTAGTGCATCCAGTAGCTCCCCAGCTGGACCAAAGGATCCAGGCGGCCATGGTTTTCGGTAGGCAGTTCACGAGGCCCCTGGCAGGCACCCAGAGGCACCTGAGTACTTTAGGATTTCCAGATTTGGACTAGGTCCCGTGGGCTACAAAGGTCCCCAGGCAGACCCAAACGTTAGGTGATGAACCCCTGTGCGTGCTAAAACTCACCACGGGGGCCCGAGGCCACCTGCCACACAACGCTGCTAGCAGGTGTGGGTTCCAGATTTTGTGTAGTGAATGCGGCTCTTCGGAGTGCAATCACAAGAATGAGTGTCCTGGCAAGCCGAGGGTGCTTGCGAGGACGCACGAGTCGCATCGCAAGTGGGTGCTCGGCTCGGTTTTGTTTTTCTGCAAGCAGTGCGGACGCCACGCGCGATGGCAGGTCAAGGAATTGGCCGCGCGCTGCCTTCGCCTTGCTGGGACTGGGAAGGTTGGGGCTGTGAAGTACATGCGCCAGGGCATGGGTCCCACATCCAAGGTGTTGGTGGGGCGCCCCTTCCCAGTCCTCTAATTGTCCCCAAGGGATTGCGTCCGCAGAGGCTCCAGAGGCTCCAGAGGAGACGGAGACGGAGGAGGAGGAGGAGGAGGAGGAGGAGGAGGAGGAGGGGGAGGAGGAGGAGGAGGAGGAGGAGGGGCCCGAGCCACAACTCCTCCAGCCGCCGCTGGCCCGCGACGGCACGGGCCCCCTCCGCGGGCGGCGGGTGGGGGGCCGCGGAAACAGCGGAGGCGAAAGGCGGCGGCGGCGACGACGACGACGACGACGACGACGAGAACGACGACGACGACGAGAACGATGCCGATGACGAAGAGAACGACGACGACGAAGAAGACGACGACGACGAAGAAGACGACGACGACGACGACAGCGGTGACGGCGGCGGCGGGGCAACGGCGGCGACCACGACGGGCGGCGACTGCGGCGGCACCCGCCCCTCCGCGCGCGAGGGCAGCGCTCTCGTGCGCAGCGGCGCGGCGAGGACGAGCGCAAGCGCCCTGGCCAGCAGGGCGCGCGGCTGCCGCGGCGCCATTCGGCGGCCTGCGCAGCTGCGGCTTGCCGGCTGCTCCGGGGCGCGCGCGCGCGCTGCGGCGACTGGCTGCCGTCGCGGCCGAGGGCTGGCGAGACCCCTCGGGCCGAGGAGAGGGGGAGCGCACGCACCGTCCTCGTGCCGCCGTGGGGAGCGCGAAGGCAAGGAACGGACGGGGCTTGCCTAGCCACCAAGGTGGAGCCTATGCGCGCCCCCCCGTGGGGCTTGTTCTGGCCACAAGCGTGGGGGCCAGTCTGGCCACAGGCGTGGGGCTTTTCTGGCCACCGACGTGGAGGAACGGACAGGGTGGAACCCATGCGTGGCCCGAGAACCAGTGGTTTTTGTTTCAGCGTCTTGGCTGAGGCGGGCACGTTCTCCTGAAAGCGGCCCTCGCCAGTGGCCAGCCTGGAAGCTCGCAGGAGCCTCGGGTGGGGCTCCAGGTCGTCGAGTCGTGGAGGCGAGGCATCAGCAAAGCGAGGCACAGGCTCAGCCCCAAAATGTTCGGTGAAAGCAGGACCCACGACAAGCCGAGGAGGAGGAGGAGGAGGAGGAGGAGGAGGAGGTGGCCTCTTCAGCGGTCTTCTCGTCCCCACCGCTGGGCACGAACAGCTTGCCAGGCTAGTCACCCGGAGGGATCGGGAGATAGCTGTAAACCGGAATTGGGTGCACCCCCGCCCACTGTCGCCTGTCGCCGCCATGGCCGCTGTTGTCGCCTTCGCCGCCGCCGCCGCTGTCGCCAACGTCGCCACCTACGTCGCCACCTACGTCGTCGTCGTCGTCGTCGTCGTCGTCGTCGTCGTCGTCGTCGTCGTCGTCGTCGTCGTCGTCGTCGTTCTCTCTTTCTCGTTCTTAGCTGTCCTTCCTGGTCCTCGGACGCCGGCCGGTGTCCGATCGCGCTCGACGGCACACGGCGCCAGAGATCGAGGATCGAGGTTCAGGGGTGGCTCTCGCCGTCTTTGGGCCCCAGGAGGCGTCCGGAGGCGTCCGGGGACCCCCGGAGGCCTCCGGGGCTCGAAGGATCAGACGGCCGCGAAAGCAGGCCAACTGTACCATATCCTGCCTCCAGAGCAGTGGGCGCACTCCACGGGGCAGTCAAGTAAAGACCGAAGGCGACACAACAACAACTCCGATCGCGGCCGAAGGCAGGTGAAACCCATCAGGCCGCCAGCGCCGCCGCCGCCGTCGTGTCGCCGCGGCGGCCTTCGCCGTCGTCTTCCTCCTCTCGCCTTCCCCTGCTCCACCTCCTCCTCTGATGCTCCTTCTCCTCCTCTGATCGCCAGGGGCTGGGGAACCCCACTCGGGCCCAGGAAGTCGGCCGGTCCGCACTCGCCATCTGGTCCCAGCGTTGCCACTGCGACAGCAAAAGTCGGACCAGCGTGCGCACGAATGCCTATCGTTGCCCGCGCCGTCAAAGGCTGTGCGTACATATGCCCTAGACGTGCCACATAACTCGGGGGCGCGCAGACATGGATTAGCGATCCATGGATTTGGCGCGCGGTCGCCAAATCCATGGATCCGGGGAGGCGCCCTCCCCAAAATGCGGCCGGTGCCGCCTCGTTCGGCGGCGGAAATCCGCGATTTCCCATGGAAGCGGGACCTGTCACTAATCCACGTCCCTTTCATCCATGTTTGCGATCGCCTGAATAACATCGGGCCATCATGCCAGCGAGAGGTAGGGTCCACCCGAATGACCCCGTTTCATGAGAGCGCATCCCCGACGTTGCGATATGTCAACGACGTGCAAGAAGCAACAGCAGGAGCTGCAGCAAGATGTATCCAGTACCACCCATACTTGCCCCATCTAGCGCGATGTGTGAGTTGTCATCCTTGTCCTCCTACTCCTCGCCCTCCCAATCCTCCGCCCTCCCCCTCTAGTCCGTGCCTGCTCCTGGTCACCCTCCTCCCCGTCCCCCTCTCTCCCTCATCTTCTCCTCCTCCTCCTCCTCCTCCTCCTCCTCCCCCTCCTCCTCCTCCTCCTCCTCCTCCTCCTCCTCCTCCTCCTCCTCCTCCTCCTCCTCCTCCTCCTCCTCCTCCTCCTCCTCCTGTCCCCCCCCTCTCCTCCTGCAAGGCCTCGCGCCTGGCCCACGCGGGGCGTACCCGAGCAGGTGCGGCCGTCGGGGGCGGTCCCCGGGGGGGAGGGGAAGGAGGAGGAGAGGGGAGGAGGAGGAGGAGGAGGAGGAGGAGGAGGAGGAGGAGGGAGGAGGAGGAGGAGGAGGGGGAAGAGGAGAGGGTGGGGGGGGGGGGGGCAGAGGCAGAGGCGGGGCTGGAGTCTGGAGGGGAAATCGCTCCGGACGGCGCCCCGGGAGAAGGAAACGCGCGAAGCGGGAGCACCCGGCCGGGCCCGCTCCCCAGCCCCCACCTCGGGGGATCACCCTCCCTCCACGAGCCCCCGAAAAAGGGAGCCTCCTCCTCCTCCTCTTCCTCCTCGTCCTCGTCCTCCTCCTGCTCCTCCTCTCCTCCTCCTCCTCCTCCTCCTCCTCCTCGTCCTCCTCCTCCTCCTCCTCCTCGTGCTCCTCCTCCTCCTCCTCTTACTCGTCGTCCTCCTCCTCCACATGCCCCCATCTGACAGCCGCGCCCCCGACCTGTCCAGGAACGCTCTCTGTCCTGCCTTTCTCGACACAGGGGGGCCGCGGCGCCCACCGCCTCGAGCTCCTCGACCCCGCCTCCTCGACAAGGGGCGGGCGCCACCTCCACCCCCTGGGGCCCGCGGGCCCCCCCCCCAGCGCGGCGCAGCGCGGGGGATCCGAGCGCGGCGCGGGCGTGTCGACGAAGCCGAAGGTGGCCGAGGAACCCTCGGCCGCAGCGACGGCAGCGGCAGCAACAGCGACGACGACTGCCGCGGCGGCGCCGGCGGCACCGGGGATGAAGGCGGCGACGAGGACGAGAACCCCCTCCTCCTCCTCCTCCTCCTCCTCCTCCTCCTCCTCCTCCTCCGGGCGAGGACTAGTTAGAGTCAACCCCTTTCGGTAAAGATGCGCGGCAGTGATGCGAGGGCCGTGGGGGGCCATGCTAACATGTTTCGAACGAGGCTGGCCAGCGAAGGTCGCGGAGGGTAGGCCGAAGGGGGCAAGGATACAAGGGCAGCCTTGGAAACCTGTTCGTCCTCACTATGCGGGTTGACTGTACGTGCGACGGATGCGGCGGTGAGGAGGGCGGGAGCGAGGACGACTGGTGGCGGCACCCACGCCGACGACGAGGGCGACGAGGGCGACGAGGGCGATGACGACAACAACGACAACGACGACAACGATGACAACGATGACAACGACGGCGACGACGACGACGACGACGACGACCTGCGACATTATGTTTTTGTTCAAACCGTGGCTCCCTAGAGGTTTGGATCCCTTCCCAGGGTCGAGCTTTTGAGAAAAGTAATTATCGTGTTGGGAGGAACGGTATGAACAGAAGCATCCGGATGCAATGGACGATGCCTTCGGCCGCCTGCGTCCAGCAAAGGGGAAACGTTTTGTCACCGCAGCGCATGGGCCGCCAATTCAACACCGCGCAAGCGTCCTAAGAAGCGGGTTGCAACCTGCAGCCTACTTCGTGGCCCTCTCGCGGCCATCTTGGACCCTTGGGAACTTCCCAAGACGCAAATTGCACCCTGCAGCCTACTTCGTGGCCCTCCTGGAGCCTTGCACAGGCATTCGCCGTCCAAGAGCCCTCTTGTGTGTGTTCCGGGTACTCTCGACGCCATCTTGGACCATCTCAGGTGTCGAAGCGACGCGGCGAACACTAGCGATGAACCAAGGGCATGAACAATGCCGGGGGGGGTCTGGCAAGTGCCCGCTGAATACTGAACTCCGCAGCAAATTCCGTATTGCGTTCCGATACGTTCCTGATACGGAGATACAAATGATTTTTGTATTGCGTTCCGTTCGAGATACGGAATCACGACTGCGTTGGTCAGCTTCCGTTCTTCATGGGATGCACCGTGACTTGTGCATGAGTCGTTGGCACCAGCGGTGCAGCATCGCTACCGATCAGACCTCACATGTACTGCCAAACTATACAGGCCTAGCCAGTGATGCGCAGAGCAGGGTCCATCAGGAGGAACTGCTGACAACGAAGGTGAGACGCGTGAATGCGATGAGTGGGAACGTCGTTTCCAGCGATATGACAACGAAGAACCAACCGACGTCCACGCAAAAGTACCAGCGCAATCGGCAGCAATTCACACTGCAGGGGGATTGGAGGATGCGACGGCCAATCGCAGTGCACATGCCAGTCTAAGAAGCACCTTCAACAGACGCGATCATACAAACGACGCGATCATTTCTCCCAACCCCATCCCCCGAACCCGATCATTGTCGTCCTGCGATTTTCATCATCAACACTTTTGTTGACGGCCCTATCCCGTTGATAGACACCAGAAACGGGAAATTGCCAAACACCTTCCAAGTCCCATAAGAAGTGGCGGGGGGGGAAGATGACGACGAGGACGAAGACGACGATCGCCAGCGCCAGCGCTGGCGCGAGCCAGCGGAGGAGGAGTGGGCGAGGAGGGAGTGGGATGACGACGCGGGGGAGGGGGAAGCATAAGCGGAATCATGTGAAAATTTTTGGCCATACCAATTGGACGATGCTACACCCAACGCCGCCAGAGCACCCAAGGCCAGGCACCGAAACCCCGTCCGAGGGAAGAGGGAAGACATGAAGGAGGAAGGGGCAGGAGGTAGGAGGGAGCAATCATGCGGATAAGCAAGATAAACAACAGAAAAACAGAACATGGAGGAGGACGTGGAAGAAAATAACGAGGAAGCGGAGGATGGTGGGATAGAAGGAGAAGGAGGAGGAAGAGGAGGAGCAGGAGGAGAAGGATAACGACAAGGCAGCACAGGGGGAGAGGGAGGAAGAGGAGAAGAGGAGGAAGAAAAGGAGGACGAGAAGGCGGAGGACGTGGTGGAAGAGCAGGAGGAGGACGAGCAGGAGGAGGCCGAGAGTGAGGAGAGAATGGACAGGAGGAGGGCGAGGAAGTATGTTTGCGGGGGTGGTGATAACGAGGAGGTCGACATGGCAGCAACAAGAGATGTGAGAGAAACTTTTCCCATCTCTCTCTCACATATACATATATACATATGTATATATACACACATACA